CTCTTGCTGTCTCTCTCTCTGTCAAATAAATAAATAGAATCTTTAAAAAAAAAAAAAAAAAAAAAAGAGAGAGGCTCTCATCCAAGAAGCAAAAGCAAGGATCCCCAGAAAGTTTGGGTGTCCATCCAGTGCAACCGAGGTTGCCAAAGAACTCCTTTTCCAGAGGGTGTTATGTGGCCTATTGGTAACAGACTTATCCCTGATTTGGCTGTATAGCCACCTCTATATATAGAGTTCTTTGTTTTCCTCTGCAACCCTGAGACGGGAAATGACATTTCTTTTAGATTTTTGTATCTCTTAAATGACAAAGACACAATATTTTACACAGGCTACAGAAAAGGTAGCTATTGATATGAATGACCTGCTCCATTTCTGACCTGGAAAAGTTCAGCCAACCTCAGGCAACCAGGTGTTCCTGTTTGCTAGGGTTCAATATCGCTGATTAGTGTGTTAACTTCTCAATATAGCACAGGGCAGGTCAGAATTCCTGAGTTGAAGCAACTCTCCCACCTCAGTCCTTCAAGAAATCAGGTCCCCTGTTGTATAGCTGAGACTGATCTACTGTGGGGTGGGGTGACAACACAAGACATAACTACGCAAAGAGAGCACACGATTTTCTGGAAAGATTCTAAAGGAGGAAAAAAGAGGCTAATCCTACCCCCTGTCCCTTTTTCCCTTCTAGAGAATATAGCACAGTATTGCTGTGTAATGCTAATCAAGTGATAACTGAATCAACTAACAGTTACTTGTTAGAGGGAAGTGTGACACTGTAGCAGTTGATATGTAAACACTAACAGCTGATGGCCAATTAAATGATCAATTAGACCCCAAATTTCTCAGCGTCTTTTTTCCACACCTCTACTATACAACCCTATGTTCCTACTGGGAACAAAGAAGGGATCCTACTTTAAGAGAAAGGACCAAGGTCTTCCCCCAAAATCTGTAGTGAAAGCCTTCCTTACACAGTACAGACTTAAAACCAACAACAAATAAACAGAAGGGCCAGAATTCAAGCCTACACAAAGATGAGGAATGTGCTGGGGGGCTCCAGTCAGAATGGAGAAGTACTATAGTTTCCAAACAGAGGCCTGACCATGGTCTGAAGGAAAAGGAAGAGTCAATTCCCATTAGAGGTCATTGCTTTGCAGGCAGGAGTCCAGGCGGCAGAGAAGAGGAGGGAAGGCAGCCTCCTCTTCCCCCAACCATCCTTACAGTCACTGCTGGGATGCCCTGCTTGGGAAGGCTCTGGTTTGCTTTTGTGCTTTTCTTTTTAGTTGTCTCATTTAGGTGGAGAGAAATAAAACAAGAACTATGAATACCTTTCCGAGAAATTACATAACACAACCTACAAGAGTTTTTAGAGTGGTTGGGGGTGGTTAGGTCTTTCTGTCTGTATTTCTCTCAAGGCAGTATGAATAGCAAGTCAACTGACAGGGATATTGTTACTGAGGAAAGAGGACTCTGTATTCAATAGGAGTGTTTCGCAGAATCACCTACCAGATTTCCCTGCATCAGAATCAACTAGCGCTTGTTAAAAAACAAACAAAAACAAAAACAAAACAGAAATTCCCAGGTACTACTGAAGTTACTACCATTAGAATCTGGGGACACGGGACTGAGTTTCAAAGACGCTTCGCTGGTGACTCTCATCTACACTGTTTGAGTGCTGTAGTTTTAAAGGGCCCATAAGACATCAACCTGGACAACTGGGGGTATAGTACTAGTAAGACTTACTTTTAAAGGGAGCATTTTCATTGTACACTGCTCAGAGATGAGTATTAACAAAAGAGTAACTCTCTAAGAGACATAATCTGCATCTGTGCCAAACTAAAATACATTTACAGTTAAGAAATAATTTGGAATCATTCTTGAATGGCAGCAAAGACACTTACACTTACCGAAATATGGTGTGCATACATTGGCCTAGACAGGAAAAATGCTGCATCATGGGGTGTATGAAATTCGTTACAGAGCACATCAATTGAAGGCACTCGCTTTATATAATCTTCTGTGCTTAGATTAGATGCTAAAAACCCACCAAACTGTACCAGGGTATCATGACACTAAATTTAAAAAAATAAGACAAAAAACACAAATGTGCTACCATTTTATGAAACATAAAAATTTTCCAAAATAATTATAATGTAATTTTAACAGTATTTTGATTAACATTTAAGAATTCAAATTTTACAACTTAAAAGAACTTTAGAGACAATCTATAAACATCATCATGTAATCGTATTACCAAAAAAGATGCCAAGGCCCTGAAAAGTTGATCTAAGGCTTTAATAGTCAACGAGGTCTCAAGTTCCAAGCCACTGTTCATCACTTTTAGTAACAGGATATATTTACGCTACATCACATACAACAATTTTATGAATACAGAATTTCCTTGCCCTTAAAAGAGTAAAACTTCATTTATAAAATATATGTGATCTTTTTTCCCTTGTAATATAGTTGGTGATAAACACATTCTGTAGGCTAATCACAGGTTTTGCTGCTTAATATTTATGATATATTTTATAAAGATCACATCTACTTAGTTCTGATTGAAATTCCACATTTCCAGAGATCAGGAAAGATATGGGAGCAAACAACTTGAAGTTAACTACTTAACTCAAAACCTTGTACATATTATTACATCTCCTACAGCCTTCTCTTAAATACCATAATTTGCACAGAAACAGCCCCTATTTCCAGAATGTCTATTTTACATTAGAGTTGTTTCACACTCATATGATGTGCAAAATGGCATCTTAAAAATTTTATCACATTCCATATTTTCCATTATCAGGATAAAAAAATCCATATAAACACAAAAGCCACTTTAACTTACCTGATCATAGAGTTTTCCCACAAGTTTCAAATGTTTCTCTCCACCTTCTTGGAAGATTACCCCATTCCTCTGCTGAGCCATAAGCAAACAGAGAGGAAGAGCAAGATCATGATCCAACAGCGCATCCTTTAATCTCTGGGAGGATTTTTTAGTGTTTCTGATCTGGCCAAAATAACCACCCTGCACAAGAGAAGACATAAACTTACCAGTGTACAGTACATTAACACATGTTATCTGATTTGAAAAAGACATAGAAAAGGCTCAGTTACAATCCTGAAGATAAAAAAAACCTTTACGTTCCTTCACTTTCTTCACACATTTATTTTAGTGACACTGTTGTTGGTTAGAGTCATTGGCTTAAAGATAACTGTCAATTGTCTTTAAACTTCTGCATATTTTCCATTTTCTACCTTGCAGTCCCTTATAAAGGATTATTCTTCATTCAGTATGGAACAGATTCAACAACAGAGTAACTATGTTCAGATTTACACCAGTTAGGATATCAAGGACCACAGAAGACTTGATATTTACTTCTCTTATAGATGTGACACTGTCTTTTATACTTTGTTTCAGCTTTTTGAAAGGGTTAAAGCAACTAGTATATCAATTTTTGAAAGGGAGATGAGGGCAGTCATGAGGGAAGGGTACATATGGCTTTGACATTTGGCTTCATGTACTTATGTGTTATCTGGATTCTTTAGTATGAGCATGCATATATCTGGAACTTAAAAAATCGATTAAAAAAACTAGCAACTCTCACCTCAGCTTTTAGTTGCTCTCCACCAGTCATGGCCTCTAGTTGCTCCATCGTCATTTCCTCTGTAATTTCTATTCCTGCCATTTTTTGTACCACTTCTTTCAATATAAGCAGGTCAAAACTATTTAGATAAAATAAGAAATAGTCTGTAGTTGAAACTTCAAACATAAAAGTGACAACATAATTAATATGCTGAGAATCCCTAAATTATTTGTATATAAATATGGAGCGGAAGGGGCTGGAGTGGTTTTTAAGGAAAAATTGCATTCCTAGAACTATACTGAAAAATATTTGGGGCATGTAATAGGTTTATGTTTATTTTAACTTTTTCCTTGGGAATAATTTCAAACTTACAGATAGGATGTAAAGATAAAAAATAGTACAAAGCATACCCATATACCCTTTACCCCGACTTCACCTATTATTAACATTCTTAGTCCTGTTCACTTTATCATTTGTTTTCTCTCTCTCCCTCCCTTTCTACACACACACACATACACACACACACACGCACGCACACACAGTTTTTTTTAACCATCTGGGAGTAACTTATTTAGTAAGCAACATCATTTTAAGGGCACATTTTACCCCTAAAATTCCAAAGAATGTATTTCCTAAGAGTGCATTTCCTAAGAATATAGCTATTCTCTTAACATAACCACAGCATAGTTACCAACTTTAGTAAATCTAACACTGATATAATACTTTATAGTTCATATTTCATTTTTATCAGTTTACCCAACAGTCCTTCGTAACATTTTAAAAATGTTTTTTATTTATTTTTTAATTCAAGTATAATTAACACAGTTTATATTAGTTCTGGTCATGTAAGATATAGTGATTCAACAATTCCATACATTATTCAGTGCTCATCATGGTTTAAATGAACTCTTAATCCCCTTCACTTCTTCATAGCATTTTTTTTATCCTCCAGTACAAGGTGGCCAATACATATATTTGATGGTATAGAGCCATCTCTCTAAACAATCACACACACTTGGAAGGGATAGAGGGAGTGAGGGAGAGGAGAAAGAAAAAAAGGAAGGGAATGGAAGTGTATGAGCCTAAGATGACAGCCTTAAGAACATCTGTTATTGTGCCAATAGTTATGCATTTTAATTCTCAAAGTTTAGGACTGTCAATGAAAATAACAACTTATGACTTTCAAGATCTTCTTTAATTAGTTAAGTAGTAAAGATAAAGTGGAAACCTTCTTTCCTACAAAACAAATACAGATGTTTTTCCAAAGGTAAAGCTAGACATACCCAAGACACAAGTTAATAACAAACAAAAGGCACAGTTTTTGAAGATTCTTATTAAGTGCTTACTCTCTCAACTTGTCTTGCCTTCCCTAAACGTAGTTTATGAAAACAAGGGAGCCCTCATGCAAATTAGTATGCAACAAGTACCAATAAAATGTTTTTTCTTTAAACTATCTTTTAATTATAAATTATATTCACAGTACAGAAAACTGAGTTATAGATTTAAAAATAATGTTATATTCTCCTAGCCCATAGACACAGGAGAGTAAAATGTATAGGAATGGTGGAAAGATGCACATAGTGTAAGTGATATGCTGACAAAATCCTAAATCTAATTATTTTTTAAGTTTCCCCTAATCCAAAATAATAATCTGTCAAAAATTACTTAGGTTATACTTGTGTGGAACACCAGATAGCTTTACAAATTTTTGTTCGCTTTCTACCAGAAAGTTTTGAAGAACAATTTCCAGTTCTTTGATTCTAGTCAGTCTACTGCTGATGAGGTTTAATATACATACTAATTCAAACTCTAAACACTGATAGTGGTCCAGAATAAAATAATAAAACCCAGTATTCATAAAGAAAAGAGAACACTGTCCAAAAGGTATGTAAGCTGTATGTATCTCTGAAGTTCAAATTCAAAAGAAATTGTGTTTTAAAAATACTGTTTACACCCTCAAAATAAATATGTTCCTACCATATGCTTAAAGGCCAATTACTGTCCAGCAGCACAATCAAAAATGCAATGCATTTTGTCATAAGAGGATTTACAATATACCACATAAACCATTTACTCAAGAGCCTAACAGGTAGTCAAAATGAAATGTCTTTTTAACGAGTTACATATATAGCCAAATATTACATTTCTTTCTGCAAAAAGTGTTTATGTATGAAATTACAATTTCTTTTAATTAAAGAATTCCATATAAATAAGTGAGCAACTATTCTACTTAAGCCTACAAAACACTTTTTCAGAAATAGCAATCTCAATATCCCAATACCACCAGAAGTATTCTAATTATTGAATTTCATTTACATATAATTTGCTATGAATACCTTTTGCCTGCCTTTAGCTGATTAGCCACATATTGAAGAAGACCAGCAAGATCAATTGGATATTTACGAAAAACTGCACCACAGAAACTAGCCAGACCTATATGAAATAAAAAAATAGGGCTTTTAAAAAACAGTTCATAAAACAAAAAAAAACACAGTATTAGGTGGCATTTCTCAACTAACTCAATTTCTAAAACAAAATGAGGTAGGAATAATTGTACTGCTGATGCCACTGAATGGAGTTTTACAATTAATAATAGCTAATATTTACTGAGCATACATACGCTAAGCACTATACTAAGTAAGCACTTTACATTAATTAACTCATTTAATTTTTGCAATAATCATCTCAGGTTGGTATAAAACCTATCGATGAGGAAAATTTGGAACAGATATATCATGCAACTTGTTCATGTCACATAGTTGGTATGAGGTAGAGCAGTGATTCAAAGGAATACGGCCTGACTCCAGAGCCTGTTAGGCCACAACAATTAACCAAGCTACAACAAAATCTTGCAGATCACCCAGTAAATCTGAATGATCAACAGAACACCTGCCCCTCTAATGTTTGAGTTACACACACAAAAATCTGTCATCTAGAAACATGCTACTAGTTGGGGAGAGGAAAGGAAACAGACCAAGAAGCAAACAAGAGACCAATTTTAACCAATAGTCCTTATCGCATCATGAGTAGGGAGAAAACCTCAGTCAAGAGGAGATCCTAGTAAAATCAAGTGATCTGTAACCTTTTCAACAATTATTTGCTGAGCACCTTAAAGGATAATGGACAAGACACACGTCCTGCCCTCAAGGAGCTTACAGTCTAGTGAGGGATATAGAAAAGGAAGCTGAAATAACTATGATAAATAAAAGGTTCCATATAATAAGAGGAGCACCTAATTCCGACTTTTGGGTAGGAGCATTAACAGGGAAAGTTTTCTGAAGAAAAGTGACTTCTAAGCTGAAATCTAATGAATAAGTAGATGTGGTGGAGGAAATGAGTAGACATGGAAGGGTATTCCAAGTAGAGGCAATAACATGTACAAAAAGGCCATGGAAAGTACAAGTTCAGTATTAATGGAACCCAGAATATGGGGAGGGGCAAAAGATGAGCCTAATACACCGAGTAAGGACCTGATCCCAAAAGAACTTACTTGTATGACTTAATGCAGATTTCAGACTTTAAAGGGCAATGGGGAACTACCACAAGATTCAGCTATCAGACACAATAGGTTGAAAGAAAAGGGAACTCACTGCTAGAAATCAAAAGCACAAGAAATTTAGAACAAAACAAGGCTAGGGTTTCCGTTAACAACCAAGTTTTTGTTCTTTTAAGATGAATGAAACCTCAGGATGGAAAGGAGAGAGAGGAGAAGAGTTCCCTTAAGATTGATTCCTCTAAAATAATAGAAGGGAATTTTTATCTCCCCAGTAATGCTTGCACAAATTCTATCACAGCCAATACTGGACTCTTGAGTTGGAAAATGAGTAAGTACTACATGAACCTCCTTACACAGCCAAGACTTAGACACACTGAGAGCAAGCTGAGTGGCTAGGTATTCTCAAGATCTCTTGACAAACAGGCTCTTAGCATTAGCAATAGAATACTTAACATGGCAATTACAACAGATGGAAATTTCATCCTTAGAAAAATAACAATAAAAAAAAAGAAGAAAAAGAAAAATACTTACTCTGAAGCCAGCTTGAGATGGTTGTGTCATCATGTTTCATTCTCTCCTTTTCTGGATTAGCTAAAGCTTCAATGATACAATCTTTCGCACATTAAGGAAAAAATTTAAGTCACTACATCTCTAACCAAGACCCTTAAAACAGTAACAAAATGCCGCATCTTGGAAAAAGTAAAATTGTCAGCTTCAAGTTACTACAGATTATTGAAAATTATACTCACAGTAGTACCAACTTTTCCATCTTTCAGCAAGCAAGACAGATTCCACCTATATTACCATGTTTAGTAAACTTAACATTGTTCTCTCCCTATACACAAAGCAGACACACACACACAAACTCCTGACTGGCCAACCTTTTTTAGATCAGCCAACAGAATTAACCTCATATGGTTACTAATGGAACTTAGAATGAAAAAGAAAAAAAGAATGAAAATAAATGTTCACCATTAAGATCTATGAAATGTGAAATCTATGTATTACTTCACTTGAAAGGATACAGGCCAAAACATCATAATTCAATGAAGTGAGGTATTTCAATGAATCTACTACAGGTGTTATTAAGTTATCATACTTCTGTATTTGCGACAAGATCTGGACGATAGCAACAAAAAATAGATGGCATTAACTCATCAAAAGGGAACTTCTGTGCTAAATAATGACTATACGTTCTTTGTTCTTCAAAAGAAACAATGCTTAAAATTAAAGTAGCTTCCTTCTACTTTGTATTTATATAAAACCTACTATATTCTATCATTTCTTAGGAAATATTTTCTTAAGCTACATTCTCCAATTAGAAAATAATTCCAGGACATATAACTTGACTTCTGGAATGATAAATGCCAAATGTCTTTTAAAAATCTCTTTCTAAATATAAAAGTATTATGCCTGAATCACAATGAAATGCTATTCAAATGTTTCTAAGAACAAAAATCAATAAATAATGCATCTCTTTATTAATATTTTTATAAACCAACATGGGGTAAATAAGACAATGTTAGACTGTTTAACAGTAGCATTGTTACATATGACCAAAAAGGAGATCAATGTGTTAAATATACTGTATGCTGTTTTTAGAGTAACAATGTTTCATTTGCTAAAGATTTTTTCCCCTAACACTATCATTTTTAAAACTTCATCATTCCATTTCCACTTGTGCTGATTTAAAGACAACAAAAAGAAAAATCCCTTAAAATAATATTAACCTCAAAACATACATAATCAAACAAAATGGTTGGATTGCTGTGGCTCAACTTCCCAATTTGTCTTCCAGAAGGCTTCACATTTTCCTTGGTTAGACGCCTACAAGGGGAGAAAAAGGTGGCAGAGATCATCTTAAGTCATTTCCCTTATAATGTTGATAGCATTGTTATATCATAAAAAAACAAACAAAAAAAAACAATTCTTTCCCAAGTATCCAAAATGGATCCATGTAAAACCACCACATTCTTCATATACATTACTGTAGGCCTTAAGTTATTTTGATTAGGCATTCTCCCAAAGGGTATTAAGATTTTGAATTAATGCTTAACATTTATAATATATACATTTCCATTTTATACTAATAGTCTAATAAGCAAAAACTCTTAATGTACTCTACAAGTACATAATACTCCTTTTGAAGAAAACCATAATTATTTTTTTAAAGATTTTATTTATTTGTCAGAGAGAGCGCACATACAAGCAGGGGGAGCGGCAGGCAGAGAAGCAGGCTCCCCGCTGAGCAAGGAGCCCAATGCAGGACTCGATCCCAGGACCCTGGGATCATGACCTGAGCCAAAGGCAGAAGCTTAACCTACTAAGCCACCCAGGCGTCCCGAAAATCATAATTATTTTAGATTTAGAAGCGCTCATTTATCAGTGTAGGCATCAAATTCAGTGTAACGCAATCAAATACCTCATACCATCTGTCTCAGTTACCCTAATAGAATAATAGCTAATGCTGCACTCCTTGATAAAGGAAAAGTTCTCTGGTTTTCGTGTAAACAATTTTTTAAAAAATCAATTCTACTCCTTTCCTTCCTCTTTAATTCTTCCACTGCTCAGTATTCTTTTACTAACATTCTGGAAAATGTAGATCTATGAAATGCTTACAGCTCAAAATTATTACACAGCATCTTAAACTCTTCTGATATTACATAATAAATCTAGAAACTTAAAAAAGCTGATGACTAAAAGCTTTCTAGAATGAAAATACAATACGATGAAGCAAATAATGAATTCAGTTGATAGTTCAAGGAATGGGACCATTCTGGACGTAACAAACTTGATAATTATCTTAAGTTTCTTATGACAAAACTGACCCATCAATCAAAATTATTTCATCATCAACTGCTTCCCTTTCCCATTCTCCAAGGTCCAGTTTCCTTTTCTCCCACAGAAAAGAGAGACCTATCGAGTTTGAAACTTGGGCTATACTCTGTTCCACCTTCAAACTTACTACCACCTGTCCCTACTTCTGACCCTACTATTTCAGGTGGTCCTCCTACTTGCCAAAGCAGATCCTTCCTCTCTATACCTTTTATCCCATTCCTTTCTGCCTCCACCCTGGAGGGAAAAAAAAAAACCAAATAAATAAATAAATAAATAAAAGGAGTACTTTCTTGATTATGTCTTACCCTCAAGCTACCATGGTGTTTGGCATATGGAACACAATCAATGACCATCTGTTGAATGAATTACTGAATGCCTTACAGCAAATTCATTTTTTAAACAGTAATCAAAACTTGTGAAATTCTGTAAGTAATAAATTAATACACTCCATTCCCAACATATAACGTTTAATCAATACCAAAATCATGTTGTTCAAGCCTGGTGAAATAGTTACAACAAATACAACAAAAATCCAAGTACATTAAAATTTCTACACATATTCTTCTGTGATATATATTTTTATTAATTCATTCATTCATTCATATTAATGTCTTCTATAACAGGCAAAGAGCGAAGCACTCGGAATACAAGGATGAATAATAGCTCCTGCTCTCAAGCTTAGTCCAGCTGGGGAGACTGACTTAACCTATTTTAAATTTTACTTTCTTAAATCCAGCAAGTTACAGAACAGTATTTATTATATGCTAACAATAGTATAAGGGGGGAGAATAATATATTTGTATTCACCTATATATACATAAAAATCTCTGGAAGGATAAATAACAAACTAAATAATGGCTTCCTTTTTTACCTCCTGAGTGAATGGAGGATGAGATGAGAGACTTTTTATTATCTACCTCTTCATATTTATTGAAATTTAAGCCATGTGAATGTATAAACTATTCCAAAGATTAGATAATTAGATAAGAGAAAAATAATCATAGCAATGTATCTAAGTGGTATGATAGCATCATATGCATATGGGACAGCGGTGGCATAAACAAAGAACAGTAGATTGTGCTTGGCAGGATGTGTTACAGAAGGCTTCGTGAGGAGCTAACATTGAAGCCCACCCTCCAAGGATGATGAGGTCACCAGATGGACAGAGGAAAAAGAGGTAAGGAAATCCTGTACAAACAGAAGAAATGAAACATAGATGCAAAGAAAAAGGAGACCACAGGCCATTCAGGGAAACTTAACTGAGCTCAGCACAGCTGGAGGTAGAATTAGCAGGCAAAGAGGTTGGAAATGGGGAGGGACAGATCATGAAAGATGTCTTACATCACCATGCCATAAAGGCTGACACATAACCTGCAGGCAATGGTTAGTCACCAAAGGATCTTGAAGAAAGAAGAAAGAATAAAGGCACAATAATACTCCCAATAAAAGAAGTAAGTTAGTGGCAGTAGAGAGTAGAAGACAGATTCAAGAGATCTGATAATATTTAATATACAGTTGACCCTTGAACAACATAGAGATTAGGGGCAACAACCCCCTACACAGTCGAAAATCTGTGTATAATTTCTGACTCCCCAAAACCTTAACTACTAATAGCCTACTACTGACCAGAAAGAAGCCTAATAACATAAACAGCCGATTAACACATATTCTGTATATGTATTATATACTATATTCTTACAATAAAGTAAGCTAAAGAAAATGTTATTAAGAAAACCATAAGGAAAATACATTTACAGTTCTGTCAATACTGTTAAGCTTACATTGTCTATTTACAAGATGAACAGTCTGTCAGTACCTACACCAATATATGATACAAAACACTGTAGATATTATATGCATCACTAACACTGGACATCAAAAATGAAGAGATAATATGAAAAAGAAATTCATATTTATTTATAGATATAATGATTCATGCATTGATAACAAAGCAGCAACAATATGACTGTTTTATGGCAGCCTAGTATAACTGATATCATTATCAAATTTTTATGGCATATAGCATTACAGTCATATTCATAATACAGTACTGGAAATACTGTTACTTTTTTTAAAAAACCACTTATCTGTGATAGGCTGATAATGCAGTTTGTCCAATTACAAGAAAGGCATACTATACAATAATACAAATCTTCGAAAGCAAAGTTATCAAACAGTAAGAAAACAAACACATTATTAATTTTGTTAAATATCATTCACCTTATGCCTATGTAAGGATAGGCTATCCACTTCCATACAAGTCTTACACACAATATCCTACATGATGATAAGGACACAAAAACATCTCCTATAGTTCTTGCCATAGGGTTAGACTTTCACACAAAGACACACAAACACAACAGACAAGTTTATTAACTGTATTATCATGATGATTATTTACTATTCATTAAATGAAAGTGGATCATCATAAAGGTCTTCACTCTCATTGCCTTCACACTGAGAAGGCTGAAGAGGAGGAGGAAGAGGAATGGTTGCTGGTCTTGTTGTCTCAGGGCTGGCAGAGTGGAAGAGGCAGAGGAAGTGGAAGAAAGGCAGTTGAGACAGGCACACTCAGTGTAACTTTATGGAAGTACATGGTAATTTCTGACTTTTTTGCTTTTCTACTTCTTTAAAAATGTTTCTATATGGTACCTATCCTTCTTCCACCATTTGCTTTAGTTTCAGTGCCCATATCATAGAAGGGTCCATATCATAATAGAAGTCAAAAAGCAGTCTAGAATAATCAGAACCTTCTTCCAGATTGTCCAATGTCAATTTGTTTTCTGGAACCTGGTGTTTATCTTTTCCCTTCAAGGCTCAGGAGTTAGCAGCTTTATAGATAAGGGCACTGCAGATCATAAACTTGACCGCATTTGCACAAAACAGCAGAGTTAGCCTATCCCTTCCTACCTTAAATTCTGTGCTTGCTCTTCCTTCCTTCCTAACAAATGTCCTTTGTGGCTTTATTTTCCAGAATAGGGCAACTTTTGTCTGCATTAAAAACCTGTTCAGGCAGATATCCCTTCTCCTCAATGATTTTTTTTTTTAAAAGATTTTATTTATTTATTTGACAGAGACACAGCAAGAGAGGGAACACAAGCAGGGGGAGTAGGAGAGGGAGAAGCAGGCTTCCCGCGGAGCAGGGAGCCCAATGTGGGGCTTGATCCCAGGACCCTGGGATCATGACCTGAGCCGAAGGCAGACACTTAACGACTGAGCCACCCAGGCGCCCCTCCTCAATGATTTTTTTAATGGCATCTGGGAACTCATCTACTTTCTGCCTCTTGGTCAGCATAAACTCCTTCTCCTGTCATCTTGACATTTTTTAAGCCAAACCTCTCTAAAATTATCAAACCATCCTTTGCTGGCCTTAAATTCTCCAGCTTCTGATCCTTCACTTTCTTTTTGCTTTAAGTTGTCATATAATGACTTGGCATTTTCTCAAATTACATTAGAATCAATAGATATTTCATTCTTAAAGCAATCCTGCACCCACATAAAAGCTGCATTTTCAATACAAGATAAAAAGGTATTTCACAAAAAGTACAAAGTTTTCACATCTGCTGGTATAGCTGCAACAATGACCTTATGAATTTCCTTTAAAAAAAAAAAAAAAACAGTCCTTACACTGGATTCATTTATCTTGAAATGGTGGATAGCTGCAGCTACAGATCTCGAGCTATGGTACATATGAAGCAATTCAACTTTTTCTTGTAATGTCATGACTTTTCTCTGCTTGGGAGCACTTCTGGCAGCACTAGAAGTACTTCGTATGGGCACCAGGGTGTTATGCAAGGCTTATGGTATCGCAATAAACACAAAAAATACTTAAGAACCATGAGAGATCACTTTTTACTGCAATATACAATTTACTGGAAAGATGAACTGCTCACGCAGAGATGATTATCATCACACAGTGTTTTAAGCGGATACTCGCAACACTTGAGCTCACTGCATAGCAACGGGGTGGCTATGAAATTATTACAGTAGTACAGTAAGTATTACAGGTACTTTTATGCAGTTATGACTTAATACTAAATCTTTACATTTGTTTACATCTCTCTTGACTACGAATAGCACGTTGTACAGTCTGTAAGTGTGCATGTAGGTAAGTTCTGGTAAATTTTAACTTTTTAGAATAGATTGGTGTATATTTTATCATAGCAAATGATAAACTAGACTAGTATCTACATATATTTTATGCATTCATGACATACCTTTTTCCTGATTTTTTTCAGTATTTCTAGGTTATGTCATCTGTAAGTTTCTTCAAATTTGTTCCAAATCTCCAAAAAATTTTCCAATACTTTTTTTTAAGATTTTATTTATTTGACAGAGAGAGACACAGCGAGAGAGGGAACATAAGCAGGGGGAGTGGGAGAGGGAGAAGCAGGCTTCCCACTGAGCAGGGAGCCCAATGCAGGGCTCAATCCCAGGACCCTGGGATCATGACCTGAGCCGAAGGCAGATGCTTAACGACTGAGCCACCCAGGCGCCCCTCCAATACATTTATTGAAAAAAATCCACATATAAGTGAATCCGCATAGTTCAAACCCATGTTTGTTCAAGAGTCAACTGTATTATTAAATAATCCATATAAAGCACTTAGTTCAGGGCCTGGCACATATAAATATTAATGGCTCCATAAATATTAGCTGTTGTTGTTAAGCTAGAAACTACCTGTGGAATTCTTAAGACCGGAACTCTTTTGGAATGACCAATTCTAATATCACCTCCTTCCATGCCTTCCCCAACTTCCACGAAGTGAAATAACTCACTCTCTTCTCTATCCTCCCAAAGAACATTTTATATACACTGTATAACAGCAACTATTAAACCAAATTGTGATTGTGTACACACCTGTTTCCCCAATAGACTGTGGCCAGGGACAATATCACTGGGAAGACAGTAACATTGCATACTGTTAAATCTAGTTAAACTAGAGAATGAACTATTTTAATTAGAATAACCATACCACTGCACAAACATAAAAGAAACAACAATCAATAGCCTTGCTGAAAACACTTGTAATATAGCAGTGTATTTAGCATATAAACCAACTCTAATCTGAAGTATACAATTTTCATAATTAAATTTCAGTTTACCAAGAAGTAAAATAACATCACTCTTATGTTTTTAATAACATGAAAATAAAGCACAAAAATGAATAGAAATTTTTCAACAGTTGACTCAAGGATGTAGTTCTACATAATTCCATTAGATCTTCCAAAAAAGAAAAAATATATTTTTTTAAAGATCTTATTTATTTGAGAAAGAGAGAGAGAGAGAGAAAGCACACATGCAAGCAGGGGAAGGGGCAGAGGGAAAGGGAAAGGCAGAGAATCCCAAGCAGATTCTGTATTGAGCGCGGAGCCCAATGCAGGGCAGGATCCACAACCCATGAGATCACAAACTGAGCCAAAACCAAGAGTCAGAAGCTTAACTGACTGAGCCACCCGGGCACCCCAAGAAAAATCTTTATTATAATAACTTTCAGCAGAGGAAATTTCAAGAACTTTGACCACCTTTTATAATCCATTAAATGTATTATGCAAATTGAGCAAAGGCCATAGTGACTGTCCTTTAAAAAAAACTCACCTATAATATGATGCATTAAAGAGGATTATTAGATTCTACAGCTATGCAAACATGACAACTACAAAAACTAACTTGGTAGTCAAAATGAGCTAAAAAGCACAAAAATTGATAGTCATTCTATCTGCAGTATATAACTGACTATACCATTAAGCAAATACTCCTGGGCTTCCTCAGAACTGAGGCTCAGACATAAGTTGGCTGGAAGAAAGTAAATTAGATCCAGATATACTTTAGGTTAATATGAAGAAAAATAAATTAAAACTTACTTCATGATATATTTGGCTCTGTCTATTGTTTGGGCTTTAACTTTTACTAAAAGTGGGTGACTGTTATAAGTTTCATTCTTCCACTGGCCATACAGACGATATCTTAAAAAACGAGATGAAGAATTAGGAAAAGTTAAACACTTAGAGGTTAATGACTAGAACAGTAGTTGAAAATACAAAAATATTACGTATTTACCTATGCTGATATGGAAATGTTTTAAACATTCCCCATAGTTCCTCAGACATACAAGCATTGCAGTCCATCAAAGAAAGAGATGGAAGAAGTACCTGGTCAGTAATGCTAAGTAAACAGCTAAGGATAACTTCCTAAGAAGAAGGAAGGAAAAAATTATTTTAGTAAAAGGTCCATATTAACCCCCCCCCAAAATAAATTTATGTCAGCCTTGGAAAAACTGCCATTCCTTGACCTCATACCACACCACATCTAATTTCCCACATTACCACTGCCCTTTTCACAGTGGATATTTGTGCTTCTCCATCTAAGGAAGCAATGAGGTGAGGTAAGGAAAGGGGTAGCAAGAGAATGAGGGATTCTTATTATCCCTCTTCCTTTCTCAACATGGTAATCCTCAAAAACAGGAGTTGTCAATCTTAAAAGATATGTCAAAAGCTATACTAAGCATGTAGAGTACAAAATATTCACAAAGGTGATTAAAACTTGTTCACAGTAAAATTTACAGTATGCCGTACATAGACCAATCAGACACATCGGATTTTTCTAGTATCTTACCGTTTTCTCTTTATCTTCTTGTTTGCTTCCATCAGACTGAAACTAAAATTAAAAAAAACTATAAATAAAATGCAAAAAGGTTAAGATTATGATGTCACAATTTAGCATCTGATTTGAAAAAAATTAACTTGTACACGGTTGTGAATTATTTCCTTACTTTTTAAACAAGTGTAGATTTTAAATATAGCCAGTATTACCAACTAACATTTTTAAATTTCACCTATATTTCTAACTTCCAAATCATTTTTGCAACATTCATGAATTTTAAATGTCAATTTTATAGGCCAATTCTTTTCTTAACCTCATTATCACAAACCAAAGCATCCTAAAATTGATCTAAGTATTTATTATAAGATTGTATCCAGCACAATTTAGTTATAATGCATTTACATTTTTCCATCCAGAAGTTCTGATTTTCTGCTACAGAATTAGTAAAATCTAAGACTAAAGCAATAACACAAAAAAATTAAACCCAAAGAAATTTAAACTATGTTTTAATTCACCATTACTTAAACTCTCAATGAGAAATAAGCCTAAAATATTAGTAAAACATTACTGACAAAGACCAAACCACTGCCTAAGTTGGACTGAATGAAAAAACCTGGGTCATTTTGTATCAGTGATTTGCAGATGGACCGCTGAAGTGCCATGTTTGATGCTGATGCTGTCCATTCATTCAAAATGAAACAGTATGTGTGTGTGTGTGTGTATAGGCAGGTGGAGAGTTAGAGGAGTGTACAAAGGCCAAAAGGACAATTGAAGCACTGATAGCCAAGGATAATCTGGATTTCTGGGAAGGATTTAACTCAGTACCAAGTGACAGAAGGGGAAAACGCTAACATGCAGCTAACAAGCTTATTATTTTCCTGGCAGAAATAGGTATTTTGTGCATGCATGTTTTTATACTTGAGTAATTTAATGGTACTACAGAGAAGTCTGACTGCTGCGCAACATTTTCACCTAAGACTAATTCTGGGACTGCCATGTCACCTTGATGGGAAAACACAAACAATTCCCCTTTTTTTTTTTTAATCAGCAGGTTAAAAAGATACGGTTCGCTTTCACAGAAACAACTGTTAAGTCAACATATATCCTGGTCAGCAAATAAGGGTCAGGTTATGAAGGAATGGCCTGGCAGAAAACAAAGTAGATAGCTGCTTTTGTTTTGTTTGGTTGTTGGGGGGGGCGGGTAATTCTGGTGGCATATTAGGAAGAACTAGATTTACAGTATATTACGTTGGGGATAAAGGCAGTTAAGCTACTCCTTTTCTAGTATACTATGACTCTAATAAAGCTACACAGAGTTTTCTCCATAGAAATAAAACATTTTCTTACCTACTAAGCTGTCCTAATTCCTTTACTAAATACTTAAGTTTGTAATGTCTATATGTCAATTCTCTAAATTTCATAACCAGGAAAATTTGAAAAAGAAATATGGTCTGTCAAATAAATAAATAAAATCTTTAAAAAAAAAAGAAGAAGAAATATGGAAAGCAAATGAAACTACCTAGAAGAGCAGTAAGAAACATTTCTATCAAAGGCTAACTATAACAAAGATGAACAAAAATGGTAAAGGTACATGCAAGTAAAAGAATTTTCTTTTCTTTGGTAAGAATATAAAGACACATTCCAGTCCCTTGATGCTTTTTCTTTTAATTTGCTTTTTAATTTAGAATAAATATAAAACTCTCCATTCCCATAGTACAACACTAAAATTTTATTGAATGGCCAGTCCAGGAAGAAATGGAAGAAAAGAGGGGGAGGAAGAAAATACGTCCACTTCATGCATTCATTTACTATGTGCCAGACACTGGGAATTCAAAGATGAACAGAACAGAGTTCCTATCTCTGAGGAAGTGACAAAGACAATTCCTATCCTTGAGGATCTCTTGAAGATCAAAACTACGCTTGCCAATGTACTATTAGGAACTGAATTTTTTTGTCTGAATAAAATCAAGCATTCATAATTATGCCTAGACAAACCATCAGCTATAAATGGCCCCAAGCAGGTTCCAGTCTTGCCCTATAATGAGGGAGCAGATGACAGGGCTGCATAAAAGAATTGGGCACAAAAAGAATGTAGGTCCACCAAGAGGGGGCTTCTGGAGAGTCAAGAAATAAAGCTTGGGAGAAAGTTGTAGATTTAACTAGATAAATTATTACTGATGTCCTACTTTTAGTATCTCTAACCCATGAATATTTGAAATGCTACTTTATATTTTATTTCAAAAAAGAAGAAAAAAGAAAAATATACTTAAGACTTGTGACTAGATTTGAACCTGAAGCTACATCTAAGTAAATTATGGCACTATTTTCACCTTCCTTATTTTTCTCATTCTTAATTAACTACCATTTATTGAGTACTCACTATGTGCTATACAGTAGGCTAAGAATTTCACATTTAGGTCTTAAAACTATAAGGCAAAAAATTTTTTTAAAGATTTTATTTATTTATTTGAGAGAGAAAGAACACATGAGGAGGGAGGAGGGGTAGAGGGAGAGGGAGAAGCAGGCTCCCTGCTGAGCAGGGAGCCCAATGTGGGATTCCATCCCAGGACTCTGGGATCATGACCTGAGCTGAAGGCAGCCACTTAACTGACTGAGCCACCCAGGTGCCCAAGGAAAATCTTTTTGCTAGAAAGGATCCAACTAAGACCCACCAAAATAACTTAGAAATAAGAAAATACAACCTATAAGTTAAAAGTTACAAGGCCATGAGTTTACCGAGCCTAAAGAAGAGATAAATGAATTGCCTTTCAATGCTTTGGTTCAAAGCTTTGTTTTTATCTTTTAATCAGAAACTCTTAAAATTTTATAAACACTTAGAAACAATCAGTAATATTGCTACTACATCATTTCTGAAAACAAAGATACTAAATGAAAAAGTACTATCTTCCAACACATTTCATTCTTAATCAATACAAATCTGTACCAAAGAATTAATAATATGATCACCTATACACAGGATGACCATTATGTGCTGGTTCTCGCTTTTTATCCCAGTGTAGGTAATAGCACAACCCTTCCATCTTGAATACCCTGGTTTAGACAATAAAGCACATGGTCTACCTACCACATGAGTAGCATTCAAACTGCAGTAAATGGACTTGAGGGAGTGGTTTAAACATTAAGATAATAGCAAACTAGACAAAATGCTAAATAGCCAAACTTGGTTTCATAAAATTCACCACCCAAAAGTATTTACTTTGGTTAAAACGTTGATTATGGGGCGCCTGGGTGGCTCAGTCGTTAAGTGTCTGCTTTCGGCTCAGGTCATGATCCCAGGGTCCTGGGATGGAGCCGCGCATCCAGCTCCCTGCTCAGCGGGAAGCCTGCTTCTCTCTCTCCCACTCCCCCTGCTTGTGTTCCCCCTCTTGCTGTCTCTCTCTCTGTCAAATAAATAAATAATAAAAATCTTTAAAAAAAAAAAGTTGATTATGATATGAAACTGCTGTTTTACACAAGCATAGTTCTAACAAGCTGTGTGTAAAAATGGGTATTTTCAGTGCACTTAATATGAATATGTGATTTATTTAAATGAATTCTCTTTATAAATGGAGTTCATAATAGAAGTTTTTTGTAAAACAAAAAATTGCCCTGTAAATCTATCTTTAGGGAAAATTAAGGTTTTCAAATGGAATTCATTTAAAGGGATATGCCCCTGTGTTTTACTTTACATTCCCCCAAAATCAGACCCTATTCAAGTACAGGCATAATTTATTCGGGAAGTAACCCTAGTAGGAAATTATTCCTGTGGGTTAACTGGAGCTTAATCCCACTGGGGACTCTGAGGGTCTGTGTAGAAATACAACTCAGGATTATCCCATCTCAAGGCATGGTAGTTACACACTAACTCCTATCATTTCACTGGTTGAGAGCTGGGGAGAGGGGGCAAGGTGAGTTAGTTCTCCAGCAGTTCCAGGATACCAATTCCTATCCTACCTATGCAGGCTTCCAGGGCCAGAAAAGCCCTCAGACAACGAGATGCAGGTGCCAATAGTTGAAAATGGGGCAGGCACACACCAAAATGATAAGGACCTAGTGCAAAGCGAAAAGAATACAGATGGAATCTAATAGCATCTGCTATGCCCCGCATGGACAAATGGCCAAACCTCCAAAGATGAAGAGTTTTTCACAAATATTTTTTAATGTTCTACATTCTGAATTTTTTTTTCTGAAACTGAACACTGAGGTCCAATTTCAGAAAACAGTCTTTGAGAGGAGGCACAGGGGTTGAATCAATTGCTTACAGTGTGTGCACACTAAAAAGTTGACTTCTCTTTCTTGTATAAAATATACTTCTTAAAATTATACTGTTTGTACGTATCTACATTTGCCTATTAACAGACTTAGATGTTTATATGTCTCTCTTAAGTAAAAAGCATAGCTAACGGTAAAAATTAAGATCCTATTTGTAATTTTATTACCTTAACTATGATTCTACATCTTGATTAGAATTGTCACATGAAGATATTCAGTAATAGCTAAGGTGACCTTAGTTCAAACCAATTATTACAGGTGACAATATAAGTACAAATATAAACATCCTAAGAGTTCTTCCCTGCTCAGGCTCATTAAATAGCAAGAATGATGTAGATTAAATTTGGTCTCCAAATCTAGAGTTCACTTGCTTTGTATGAGACTTATTTATTTTATTTTATTATATTATGTTAATCACCATATATTACATCATTAGTTTTTGATGTAGTGTTCCAGGATTCATTGTTTACATATAACACCCAGTGCTCCATTCAGTACGTGCCCTCTTTAATACCCATCACCAGGCTAACCCATCCCCCCAGCCCCCTCCCCTCTAGAACCCTCAGTTTGTTCCTCAGAGTCCATAGTTTCTCATGGTTCGTCTCCCCCTCCGATTTACCCCCTTCATTGTATGAGACTTATAATAGCAAAAGTACATAGAGGAGCTGAACCAAACTGAAAGAAAAAAAATCCTCCAATGAGAGCAGCATCTGTCTCTTGGACAATAAGAATAATGCAAGGTTCTGATTCTCTTAAAAATATTCTTGCAAAATTTGTATCTA